TTCTAACATTATGCGTATGCTGAGAGAAAACACAATAAATTATAAACATGAGACTGGCCATAGAATTACAGTGGATCATAATCCTCTGCCATGGTCACACATATGGAATGATTTCTTCTCCAAATTAATGAACATCTCCCATGCGCACAACTCAGCAATATTGGTCAAACAGTGAAGAATAATCTATGGTGTCGGCAACTCTTTTAGAAATTCAAGTCTTTGTTTCCCATACAAACACTTGAATAACGAGAAATTATTTTCGGACCATAATTTATTTGACGGTTTAGTCTAATCAAAACTCATGTTCAGAATTTTTGTAGTACATGTTATTAAATCTTTATAAGTGTTTTTTTCAACAGAAAATAAGTTTTTGATTGAACTTAATCACTGTACACAACGCCATAAATATATGTATTCACACAAACGTAGCTCTAAATAAAGTTTGTCATTTTAATTTGGTAGTTAGTGCCAAAAATATATGTACACAACGCCATAAATATATGTATTCACATAAACGTAGCTCTAAATAAAGTTTGTCATTTATAATTTGGTAGTTAGTGCCAAAAAAAAAAAAGAAAAAAAAAAAAAAAAAACCCCTAGTTACATCAGAAAAATTAAAATAGCTCATGAGGCCAACTGAAAGAATAAAATGATTACGTTGGTCTTATTTCTTAATTAGCTTAAATAAAATTTAAGAATTCACACGAGACCATATATATTTATTAAGGTAGCATTGTCATTTTGTGAGTGAGTGACTCTCTCTCTCTCTCTATATATATATATATATTGCATACTTAGATTTGGAAGAGATATTGTGTGGGTATATATATATATATATATTGCATACTTGGATTTGGAAGAGATATTGTGTGGGTTTGAAGGCTTGACTGGTCCATGAACAGTTTCTTAACCTTTGCAACCTTTGCATTCAAAGTCAAAAACTTATTATTGCTTCCTTTGTTATACTATGGAGCTGAACCTCTTTAATGAGGACAGAAGTTAACATATAATAAGTGAGAATTTTAATTTATTAAACCTTATCTTTTAACTCATTCTTAAAAAAAAAAAAAATAGTAAAATAAAATAAAATAGTGCTATTGCGAGAGCCTTTTTTCAGAAAGTCTAAAAAACTCATGTTAATCACAAAATTTCTATTTTTAGGATTTGGAAGGAACAATTAATTAGAAAAGAATCCTTCACAATTAAAGAAACAAATCAAATTTAAATCCTTCACAATTAAAAAAACAAATAAAGCTTTGTCGTGATTCATTCATGTAGGTGTTAGTTTTGAACTAATTTCACTACATAATGTTAATACGGATTTGATTTCATTATATAGCCACCACATTCACGATCACGACTATACTAGGACTATAAACTTTGTCCAAACATTGCTTCTTTCCTAACATTATACGCATGCTGAGAGGAAACACAATAAGTTATAAACATGAGACTGGCGATAGATCGAATTACAATGGATCATAATACTCTGCCATAGTCATACATATGGAATGATTTCTTCTCCAAATTAATGAACATCTCCCATGCCCACAACTCAGCAATATGAGTCAAACAGTGTAGAATAATCTTTGGTGTCGGCAACTCTTTTAGAATATCAAGTCTTTCTTTCCCAAACAAGTCACGAGCAAAGAGAAATTATTAAATAATTTCTGAGCATAATTTATTTGATGATTCGTCTAATCAAAATTCATGTTCAGATTTTTTGTAATATATGTTATTAAATTTTTATAAGTCTAAGTGTTTTTCTAAACAAAAAATTGAGATTTTGATTGAATTGGATCACAAGACGGATATCTATTAACTGTACACAACGCGATAAATATATGTATTCACGTATACATAGCTTTAAATAAAATTTTCCCAATACAAAAGGTTGTCATTTATAATTCGATCGTTAGTGCAACAAAAAAAAAAAAAAAAATCTAGTCACATCAGAAAAATTAAAATAGCTAATGAGGCCAACTGAAAGAATTAAATGATTACGTTGGTCTTATTTCTTAATTAGCTTAAATAAAATTTAAGAATTCACACGAGACCATAATTATTAAGGTAGCATTGTCATTTTGTGAGTGAGTGACTTAAAATATATATATATATATATATATTTATATATTCCAAATCAATGTATGCAAATATATATATATATATATATATATATATATATATATATATATATATATTTTGCATATATATCTGAGGAGGGTAAAAAAGTTGATATATATATCTGAGGAGGGTAAAAAAGTTGATATTTGGATCATTGGTAAAAAAGTTGATATAAATATAAATATAAATATATATATATATATATATATATATATATATTTTGCATACATTGATTTGGAATATATATATATTGCATACATTGATTTGGAAGAGATATTGTGTGGGTGTGAAGGCTTGCTTTGTCCATGAAATTAATAATTTATTAAGAAAATGTAGCTAGGATGAACATTTTTCTTAACCTTTGCATTCAAAGTCAATAACTTATTATTGCTTCCTTAGTTATATATAGTATGGAGCTGTACCTCTTTAATGAGGACAGAAGTTAACATAATAAGTGAGAATTTGAATTTATTAAACCTTATCTTTGACTTATTCTTAAAAAATAAAAAAAAATAAAAAAAATAATAATAATAATAATTAGAAGAAGTAGTGGATGGATAGAAGGATGAATTTGGTAGAATTGTTTGACCAGTAATCTTGATAGATTATTTATGCAAGATATAAGGAAGTGAAGAATCTTACTTCCATATATTTTGCATTCATGATCAATTAAATGTATTTGATTAATTTTCATATTTTTTATTTTTATAATTATATTTTGATTGGTATTTTCTAATTACGATTAAATTTTGAGAGAAATATCGAGTATATATATATATATATATATATATTAAAAAAGAGGGACAAATTGCAAAAAAAATCCCCTCGACTTTCACCCGTTCGCAAAAAATCTCCCTTATGAATATTTTTAGCAAAAAATCTCCCTCAACTATCCTGATGGGGAAACTTTAACTGACGTCCGTTTAATAAACATACACTATTACCAAATTACTCACGCTTTCTTAATTTTTTTTGGTGACGGCTTAAAACGAATTTTATTTCCATTTGTTAACGCTTGGACTCAATATTTACAGAAGTTATAGAATCGACTCCCTGATTTATACCAAGCGAATCATTCAAAATTGGCATTAAATATGTTCGTTTACATCAAGTGAATCATCCACCGACTCTAAGTATCATTCGTCTTTCTCATGCAATTCACTTACTCGCATTATGCAAGCTCGTATAAAATACCCTTCCATACATAAATATATAATATGGTTTTATACTAATTTAAGATGATATTAGGGAAAAATTATCATATAGATATGATAGGATAAAAAATAAAATAAAATAAAATAAACTTGACTTATAATATGGTTTCATACTAATAGGATAGCAGTAAATAAAATAAATTTGATTTATTTTTCACACAGTATATAGTATTATAGCATATATGACTCAATTATAATATTTAAACATTCTTTACATTCAACAGGACCACCTGCATAAAAATATATGATTCAATTATAAGATTGAAACACTATTGTATGAATAAAATAGTAGGAAGAATTTGCTGACGTGGTGAGAGAATAAATAAAAATAAAAAAAAGTCCTTTACTGTTAAGGGGCAATTTCGTCCAAAAAAATGATTCAGCAAATTATTTAAATGGACATCAGTTAAAGTCACCCCCTCAAGATAGTTGAGGGTGATTTTTTGCTAAAAATATTCATAAGGGGTGTTTTTTGCAAACAAGTAAAAGTCGAGGAGGATTTTTTGCCACTCGCCCTAAAAAAGATTATTAGAGGAAAACATATTAAAGATTGAGAGAGAGAACTTAGGCTAATTATTTGCTTTCCTTTTCATTTAATTGACAATTCCTATAATTCAGTTTGTTAAAATAGGAAACACAAATACATAAAAAAAAAAAAAAAAAAAAAACACCGCATAATATGTATTAAATTAGAGGATATTAAGCAGGTACTTCGATAGTCTAGTAGTTAGTGCTCAAGGAAATATACTAACACATTTGACGTTTTTTTTTTTTTAATTAATAGATAGTGAATTAATTTTGTTGAAAAGTTACGTGAAAAAGATTCTATAAATTACAAAGTACAAATGTATTTATTTAATAATTAATATAATACAGAAAACATAATTAATTTATTAAAAAATATATATAACTAATATATTCCTTTAATTGTTAATTGTCTATAAATAAATAATATAATAAACAAAACATAATTAATTAATTAAAAAAAATATATAACTAATATATTCCTTTAATTGTTAATTGTCTCATAGTTGATCCACCTCTCACGGGCATTAGGCGCGAAAGTTTGGTGAATAAGATGGTGAAGTTTTTAGTTAAAAGAGAAAGACTCCAACTCAACCAAATTCAAGGAGTTTTTATGTCTATTTATTTTCAACAATGCTTTGATCCAGTTTATCACTTGTATCATTTTTTAAATTTAAAAATAACAAAAAGTAAATTAAAAAGTAAAAAAAAGTCACGTGCTAAAGCCACCATAGCTAATTTTACCGAGAAAAAAAAAACAAAAGGAAAGAAAGAGAGAGACAAGAAATTATAGGTGGCATAATTAAAAGTCAATGTTAATCTGGTATACACTGCTGATCCAAATGTCGAAGATAACCTTTTTTGTTCCAATCCTGATCTAAATCACACAATCTTTCTAATGGGTGTCGCTCTCACGTTTTTGGGACACTCAAATTTTATTATTTATGATTTAATTATGTTGCCGTGGCATTTCGGCTCTCATTGCCGTGGCATTTCGGCTCTCATATTTGTTGTCGCTTCCGCTCGGTTTTATGTGACTTAGGTCCTGACACATACCAAAAGGGGCAAATCAGTCCTTCCATCTCTACTTAGGCTACGAGTACGTAGTATAATGTGAAGCCGCGGAAAGTTTAGCGAATCATAGAAGAGAGAGAGATTCAAAGTTTGAGCTTTTGTGAGAAACAAGAAAACAAGAATGAGAATTAACGAAACTTCCCATACGCCCCCCACCTATTTCCTATCTTGTAATCTTCAAACCTTACCACACATAGTCACACACAAATAATTATACAAATGAGAAACCAGTCTCTATTTCACAACCACCTGCATATATATATATATATATATATATATATATAGATAGATAGAGAGAGATATGGCTTGGAAGATACAGAAAGAGATGAATGATGGGATTGTAGAGAGGGCTCTTAGCAGCCTTGGCAGAGGATTTGATCTAACATCCGATTTCCGATTGAAATACTGCAAAGGAAAAGAGAGACTAGTCATACTTAATGAAGCAGAAACAAGAGAGCTCAGAGTCCCTGGTTTTGGATCCTCCAAAAACATCTCCATCGACATCAAATGTGACAAAGGTGATCGAACTCGATACCAATCCGATATTCTAGACTTCAATAAGGTATTATAATACATCTTCTTCCTTAATTATTCGCTTTTATTTATTCATAGCCTTGTTCGTCTTTCATAAATTCAAGAATTTCAGTTCGTGGTCAAATAATGTGAATTCATTAGAACTCTTATTTGACCATAGTTTCATTAATGTCACACTATCATTGAATTCTCAAATATAGATCTATAGAGATAAGCGGTCCAGGATATCCGTGGGGATTTGGTTAATTAGGTTTGGTTGTTAGGCAGACATTGTTGACTTTGGTTACTACGTACTGATCGACTTATAATTTTTCTGTTCAGATGTCTGAATTTTTCAACCAAAAGTGTTCGATTCCCGGGAAAATTCCGTCCGGGATGTTCAACTCCATGTTTGGATTTGAGAGTGGTTCGTGGGCAATCGATGCTGGCAACACCAAGTGTTTAGCACTGGATGGTTTTTTCATGATTCTCTTCTCCCTCCATATCGATCGCTATCCTCTTCTTCTCTCCGATGAGGTCCGAAATGCAGTTCCTTCCACTTGGGATCCATCTGCACTTGCAAGGTATGTTTGGTTCCAACTTCATGGTCCATTTGGTTTCCATAGCCATTTCCCTTCAATCTAGCTCTTTTTTTTTTTATTCTTTTTTTTTTTTTTATTCAAGTCAAATCACTTTAGGCTAGGTTCCGTGGCATGAAATCAGAATTTTGGAATTGAAATTTTTAAAATTGGAAAAAATTAACTTACAAAATTAAATTAAATTTTTTTTCTAATTTCATAAATTTCAATGTCAAGACTGATTGAGAATGACCGATTGATTACTATTAGTGTATTTCTCTAGAAAAAAAAATTTTGAACTCTATTCAACCGTATTCCTTTTCATTCCAACTAATTCTCATTAATTACATATTAAAATACTAAAGTATCATTATCATTATCATATTTGATGTTGAATTCTTTAAGAGAAATCAAAATTTTATTAAAAAATATACAAGCTAGGTATAGGTGTAATGTAAATTGCATGAATGTAAATTGCATGATTTATTGGTTTGGGTGGGACGTTTATGGAGGTAATATACGAAGCTCATATTTGATGTTGAATTCTTTAAGAGAAATCAAAATTTTATTAAAAAATATACAAGCTAGGTATAGGTGTCATGTAAATTGCATGATTTATTGGTTTGGGTGGGACGTTACTTTATATGGTTATCCATTAACAACACCTACTATGAGCACATCTGTGGGATCCACCTTCTGGAAGATTTGATTCATTCATAATTCTAAGTAGTTACTAAAAGATTTAACCCAATAATTCACTTAAAACTTTCTAATTAATATTGATGAATATGACTTACAGTTATTAAATCAACGTTACACTACTAAGGATGGCAGCCCAATGTTATTTTCAATTTTTCACTTCTACAAAATAAAAGGTTTAAATCACCATTGCATGCGGTGTCGACCATTTACTCTTAGTGGTAGCTCACCTCGGATCATAATCCTCTCCTTTGGGTTAGAGATTTTTCAGGGGGTCACCAATTCTGATACTATTCCAGATTAAACACACTTAATTCTAGAGTTCTGGTAGATTTACAGTCATCACGGCTTTAAAACGCTTTGTGTTATAAAAGAAGGGTGTTGAATTTACATCATTCCACGCCCAGGTGATGTGGGATTGTAGCTTTGGCCTACTAGTGCCACTTGTACACGTTCACACACACCAACCTATAAAGTCGCCACAAATCACCTCCCATTTGGGGGCCAATGTCCTCATTGGCTACACTGTTGGATGGGTTAGGCTTTGATACAATTTGTAATTATAATGACCCTCACCCTATCCAGATACAATATTGTTCACTTTTATCTCTCCAGAACCAGAAACTTTTCAGGGGTTACCAATCCTGATACTATTTCAAGTTAAGTAAACTTAATTCCGGAATTCTATTAAATTCACCGACATAACGGCTTTAAAGTGCAATGTAATAAAAAGGTGTTAAATTTATATATAACACTTTCCCCTTTCACACCTGAATGATATTATGCATCTATTCTTCGTCGAGTGTGATAACATACAGGTATCACCTCTACACGCTAACACACACCTGCTAACAAAATCACCACATTCCGGTTGGTGATTTTAGTCCAGATCACCTCTTCTAGATTTCAACAACTCTGTATATCATGGATATTGTTGACCTGTAGGAACAATAATCAGATAACGAAACTACCACTCAGGACCAACTGACCAAGTACACATAGAATTCGTACAAGGTATGTGTTGTCTTATTATGGATCCCTTAATTCCAATTCAATTCCAAAACAATATCAAATAAATAAATAAGGAAAATATATAAAATGGAGTATCCTGATTCAGCCAAAAATATTCAACTCATATCAGAAAGAGCCTCCTTACTTCTTTGACCAATCAAATTAGTGTTCTGATTAGAATAAATAAGTCTGTGTCGATTTGTCAACATATCTTAAAGTCAACAGCATCAATGGCGGACACCATTAGCTGTTGCGGGGTTGGATTAACACTTAATTGTTTAGAATTATAAACTTATAATGAATGTGGCCAATCCTCTGCCACATTGTGTGTGTATATATATATATATATACAAGCATGTTTGGAATTCCAAGGCCCTATTCAAGTGTTTATGGAAATTCACTGAGTGGACCAATCTTCTCACATTGAAAAATCTTCTAATATGTGTGTGTTTGTGTCTAACGGTCTATTCAAGTGTTCATAAAATCCATATATCGACTGACCAATTCAATCTTGCAACGTTATCATAATGATGGTTGCCCCATTTATTTCATTGATTTAGTCAATTAAACCTAAGTTGATTAGTAATATATATCTTTGACTTTTTTGAAATTTTAGATGAATGATTTCACTGTGATGTGACCTTTTGATAATTGGAAGTTCCCACACCCATAACAAATTAAACGAGATAAGGAACACTAATTACTTTGAGATTTGAAATAATTGTATTATTATTTTCTGACAATATATTAAATCAAGGTGTAACACGATTAATTACACCTCGATTTAGATTTAATGTTGCGCATTTGTATATTGTATTACAAGACTAAACTTTGTAGAGAAAAAATATTTTCATGTCGTAAAAATTAAAAGAACAAATTATGAACCTGAATCCTCTCCCTAAGCATGAAAAATGGATGGATTAATCATCAAACTTTAATTTGCGATGTATGATTGACAGATTCATCGAGAAATATGGGACCCACATCATCGTGGGGCTGGGAATTGGCGGGCAGGATGTGGTGCTAGTAAGGCAGGATAAATCTTCCAACTTGGAGCCCACACAGCTCAAAAATCACTTGGATGAACTTGGAGATCAGTTGTTTACTGGGACATGTGCCTTCTCACCTAATCACTACAAGATCAGAGAACAAAAACACAAGGTCTCATTATATATCTTCCTCTATATACAAGGATATATATATATATATATATATATATATATATATATATACACACAAATATGTTATTTGGATTCTCTTTTTTGTTACTTAAATGATGTTGACATATCATTTGCATTATTAATTCCAGGCACCACAGGCTTTCAATGTCTTTGATCCTCAACCTACGCTCTTCAACAGCTTCTCCTCAATCTCAGCAAAAGATGTAGGTTTGATCATCAATTACTTCCTTAAATTTCTAAGTTAATACCTCTCAATCGAAAAAAAAAAAAAAAAAAGGTGATAAATATCATAGGTAATATATGCTTCACGGTCTCAGAATAGTCTGGATTTTTGTAGTGATTGTTCATTGTGTCACATGCGTTTTCCATGTCCAAACAATCGCAGAATCTCGGGATTTTTGAGTACAATAATGACATATAAAAGTAATCATCATTATGTCAATAAGATATATATATATATATATATATATATATATATCAATCTCATACACAGCCCCACATCTCAAAGCAAGTTAGGCCCCACGCATCAAACATGGTCGTTGGGTGAAAAATGTACATGCATGCACTCCTAACAAACACCAATGTAACCTAGTGAGAGACGACTTCGATTGGTTTGACCCACCAACCACCATTCCATATATATATATATATATATATATATATATATATATATAGTTCAATATATATAGAGATTGTGGAGCAAAATGTTGATTTCTGTCCCTACTAAATTGGTCAAATAGCCGTAAATCAGACCCCTAGCCTGCATGTGTTTGAGTGGAATAACCAATATGACCACCCCAATACATAATTTGACTGATTTTTGGTCTCAATTGAATAGTAACTAATAAGAAGAAGCTATAAACACCAAAACGTAATCAAATTAATTTGTTAAAATCTGAGGAAAATGATCTAAAATATGTACAATAAATAATATATGTATCACACCCCTATATTAAGCAGTATCCTACATGTATAATTTATAAAAACACACATACACACACAACAAACTAACTTTCAAACAAGAAATGCTTGATATACTATAATTAATGCCGAAAATTAAACAGCATGAGTTTTGTAGGGAATTAGTGTTATATGCTCCAAAAGGGGAGGAGACACAACAACTAGCAGCCACTGTGAATGGCTTCAGACGGTTTCGTCGATGCCGGATGCAGTTCACTTCAACTTCATTCCTATTACCTCTCTTCTCAGAGGAGTTCCTGGGAAAGGTTTCTTATCACATGCAATCAACCTTTATCTTCGCTGTAAGCACTATTTAGCTTCTATTCATGAACCCTAAACATGCAAGAGCATAGCTAATTAATTACTAATCTTTTATTTATTTTTTTCATTACATTTTTGTATGGATGTGCAGATAAGCCTCCTCTAGCGGATTTACAGTACTTTCTGGACTTCCAAGCACACAAGATTTGGGCTCCTGTTCACAATGACCTCCCACTAGGTCCAACCACAAATAGGGCTCTCCAAACCCCTGCCCTCCATTTCAACTTAATGGGCCCAAAGCTCTACGTCAACACTACCCCGGTATATACAAGCCACCCTGTATGTTAGCTGCAAAAATTTAAGAGTTTACTTGGTTTGTTACTCGAAATATAATTTTTAGATAACTGCACAATAAAATACTTACCAGAGAACATTGTTTTTTTAAATGATTTTTCATAAAACAATTCATTAAAATTGTCGACCGAACAGCTTTTTGTACTATTTTCTAATTTTGGATTCTAAAAAAACAGAAAACTGAAGCAAGCAAGCCCTAAAATATGGGCAAGATTCCATCCATTCCTAGTATGTTCCTTGAGTTGTTATCACATTGGTTCTGTACATGCATGATTTATCTTTTGTTGTTTTATAAGATAAACTTTTAATTCATAATCATATTGTTGATAATCAGGTAACGGCTGCCAAAAAACCAGTCACAGGGATGCGGTTGTTTCTGGAGGGCATGAAATGTAACAGGTAATGCTTGCTTACTCGCTTCGCCTTGTTAAGAACTCGAGACAGACTTAACATTCAGCTAGTATTTTATAAAATGACTGTTCTAAAGCTCCAACTCGCACCAATGACACTGAAATTTATTTCAGACGTTAACCAAATCATCGGCATCATAATTTGTGTTACATCATTTTCAATTCTAAATGCCAAATTTGCATGTCTACCATAATATCTAGTTTCGACTGGAACATTTTGACCCGAGAAAATCCATAACCGATCCAAAATGGCTTACATATCATTACTCACTTCTTGTTCTCATTTCCTCGGTCTTAGGACAAGAGAAGTGCAAATTCTAATTGGGCACTAAAATTGTAGATAGATAAATTTTCCATTTATCCACTTCGGATATGGCTCAGTAGTTGGCTTGTTAGACTTTGATACTTTGTAAACCCAAGATCTAGGTTTTGAGTCTCCGCTGAGTGCTCTTGGTGGCTAGCCTCCACTGCACCTGCAGTGACTTGCCCGGCCCAGGTGGAGAGGCGCCCTTCCGGATTCTTGAGGATTAGTCAAATTGTTGAGGGGCTTTCGGGTTCTTGCCTTCCCGGATACCTGGGTTAATCAAATTATATATATATATATATATATATATATATATATATATATATATATATATATTCCATTTCATGTTATTTTCTTGCAATTCAATATACTTAATCTTGATTAAAGTTGGACAATTCTATCAACAGGTTAGCCATACACCTCCAACATCTATCAAGTACTCCAATGTTGCTCCAGAACAAGATAGATGATGCCATGGCTAATTGGCGTGGATCGGAAGAGGTTTCCGATGAACGGTATTTTGCAGCCATTCAATGGAAAAAGTTCTCCCATGTATGCACAGCCCCGGTTAAATATGACCCCAGATGGACTACTAGAAAAGACGTGGCCTACATTGTCACCGGAGCTCAACTTCACGTGAAAAAGCACGATTCCAAGAACGTTTTGCATCTCCGGCTCTTGTACTCCAAGGTTTCTGATTTTTATGTCGTAAGGTCAAGCTGGTTGCAGTGCTCGGAACATTCTCAGAAGTCAGGCTTCTTCTCAGCTATCAGTATGTCGATATCTGGCAACGCGGTGAGGGAGAAAAATCCGGCAGTGGTGGTGGATTCGAGTGTTTATCCGACCGGACCACCAGTGCCGGTGCTGACACAGAAGCTATTGAAGTTTGTGGACATGTCACAGTTGTGTAAAGGGCCATTGGACTGTCCTGGACATTGGTTAGTCACTGGAGCTAAGCTTGAATTGGAGAAGGGGAAGATATTCCTTCACGTAAAGTTCTCTTTGCTGAACATGTACTATTAATGAGAAATTAAGGGAGAAATCAGTATGTCGAAAACACTTTTTGTGGGACTTAACAATGTATAGTTTATGCACTTTGTTGTTGTTTTTTTATTTTTTATTAGGTAAGTACTCAAACACACACTCGCGGAGCACCGAAATTTTGAACTCCTCCGAAGGTAAGAAAGTTATAGCATTGGACTAATAACCCATTGGTCACTGAAACTTCTTCCCTCCTCTGTGAAGGTAGGAAAGTTAAACCATTGGACTAATAGCCCATTGGTCACTTTTGTGTTATATTTGTATATGAAAGGAAAAACTATTTTAATCTATGAATATATTCTTTCAATCACATTAGTTGAATTATTATACAATGAAGAACTCAGGATATGCTAATTCTATGTTGATTAGCTCTAGAATAATCTTTAATTTTCAAACTCTCTCAAAAATTATTGTGGTTAGTTTGTATTGAGAGAGAATATTTTCTTGTGTATGTTTGGTGCATGTTGTTTCTGTATTCTTTATTATACATAAGTATTTAAATTTAAGGGACTTTTATATATAAGTGGTGGTAGCAAAACTTTATTACTAAATCATTGATGTAGTTTTCATATTTACGAACCAAAAGTGAAGTCCTTCATGCTGAACCCTTTTATAAGTTAAAATTATATTTTGACTTCTAAAAGTTTATTTTATGCATAATTTAACCAAAGAACTTTTAAAAATTCTAGAATATTTTCAAATAGCACTTAGAAACTATTACACTTCACTAGAAAAAGAATAGAAGTTAGACGACAAAGATTTTAGCTAGGTTTATGAGTAGAATAAAATTTAATAACTTAGATAACGACTAGGAGAAAATCTATATTATATTAAAACACAAATAGACCAGAATTCTAGTCCAAATAATCTAGACAACAAAATAATATTAGTCGCAATTAAAGATATAAATAGTGATATTAAAAATATTATAAAAAATCAAAAAATAACTATAGAATATTTAAAATCTTTAAAAACAGATATCCAAAGACTATTACAATAGTTTTATGAGCACTAGTAATCCTGATTATCTAGCAGCTTTAGCCGAACTTTATAAAATTGATAAAAATCCCGTATGATTTACAATTTTTAAGACAGGCGTACAATCAACTAATATAAATATTAGACAAAATAACTTTTTAATTCAATTATTATTCCAGTTATCTGAAAAAGTTAACAAACTTGAAGAAAAATTATAAGTAATACAAGAAAATATTCCTGGAGAATCTTCTAAAGAATTATCTGAATTACCAGATAAAATAAAAGATTTAAAGTTATCAACTAATTTCTTCTCGACTAAAACCACCAAGCATGTAAATCTTTTACAACTACATAGAGAATGGCCATTGTCCTTAGAAAAACCAAAGAAATAATGAGGGTAGAAGATCTATATGATAATGAGCACGATGCTCAAAATTATATCGAAAAAGGAATGAATAAAGTATCTAATAAAGTTAATATTTATTCTAATAATTTATTAAATTTCTAGACCAAGATATACAATTATCTTAGCCAGCGAAGGATAAGTGTAGTAAATAACCAGGTAATTTTAGATCTCATAACACCAGAAGCTTGTCAAGAGCTGGAAAAAAGTAAATTATAACTTATGTATTTAGGCGTAATAATGATCGGAATAGTAGGATTAAATAGATCAGAAGTGGGAACCAGAGCACTCGCATATATTTATGATGATCTTTGGAATAACCATCAACAAGCATAAATAGCTAGCGTTGAAATAGATCTAGCAGCCAACGCAACCATTGTAGGATGTATTCCTAATTTCACGATGACTACTAGATAATTTAATAAACATATACAAGTAACCATATCCACAAAGGGATATATTATGACTAGACAGTATGAAAACTTATTAATTAATACTTTATTCATGAGAAAAACAGTTAATCAATATAATTTAAAGTTCAAAGCTTAATTCAGTAAAATAGTTAAGCCTTTTAGTAACAAATATGTCCAGATGATAAAGGTTATAAAAGTAAGCAGTATAACCCATAAAGGAACAAAATAGGAATTGCCAAATCTTATTAAAACAACCAAAAAGATTCCATAAAATAATACGATATATGCAAAACATAGTGGAGAAACTAGTTTAAGGTTTAGTAACTATAAAAGACAAGATAATTTAACAGATGATATCGAAGAAGAATTCTTAACAACTTAACAACTTTAGTAGAAATAGAATCTCCCGAAGAAATAAATGTCCTTTATGATAAATAAGAAGATGAAATTCTAAATAAAATAATGTACGATTTTGACAATTTAGAAATAGAAGACTTACAAGATAAGTATCCAGAAGCTAAATACAAACTTATAGAAAGTATTTATCTAGGATAAGGAAATAACGATGATATTAAAAGAAATATTCTGAACATAGGACTTGAATCATTTTATACAACATATAAGTTAAACGCATTAAAAGAAGAATTAAATATAGTAGAACATAGAGAAGGTAAAGAACCAGAAGGATCAGCTTCCCAGTCAATTGACCAAGAGATGCCTAACGCCACAGGTAGTACTAATACCATAAACGATGACTATACCACTGAACAATGGTTAAATCCCACACCAGAAACGTATGTGTTAAATGTTATAAATTGTGAATGAAAATTGTTTAATTAGTCATTAATCGATGCCTTTGACTAAACAGGTGCGATTACTGGTTGGTTATGTGATAAAAATATACAACTCAAAACCAACAGACATAACTATTCATGTGAACCATTGCAACCTATTGGAGTGGATGTGTCTGATGAGCGTTGAATATATGCATATTCGAGCCCCTAAATACGTATATATTAAGGCCTAAAGTGATACTTCCATAATTAGACTAATTTATGTTTAATGTGTGTTTGTAGGTACTTTCCCAGATAAATGGTTAAAACCGGGACTTTATGATGATATCGAAGCTTACAGAGTCGTTGCTGGTCATCCAGAGCAAGCCAAGAGCTTAAATAGTGAAGTTTGAAGAAATTTAAGCCTTAGAGCTCGAGCCCAAGTGTTGAGGCTCGAGCATCACAGCAAAGAAGAGAAGAAAAGTCAACAAGGCCCAAATGCTCGAGCCTTGTACCTTGATGCTCAAGCCTTACCAAAGGGTGCTCGAGCCTTAACCAAGGGTGCTCGAGCATGAGGCGTCGAAAATAAAAGAGTTGATTTAATTGAAAGGCTATGTTCCCAGGTCTCGTGCCTCACCTCCAGGATCAAACACCATCCACTAATGATCGAGCACCATCCACTGATGCTCGAGCCTTGAGCCCCAAATGCTCGAGCTTGGTACTTAGTGCTCGAGCCTATGAAGCTTGGATTGAGCAATGTTAAAAGAGTTCAACTCCAAAAATATTTTAAGCGTTGAAGAAAAAGACGCTTCAGAAAATAATTGAATAAAATTGGCTAAGTGTTAAAGTGAAGATCGAACACCATTTATTGAAGCTCGAGCATCAATCCAGAGAAGCTTTAGCATTGTTCCTTAAGGCTCGAGCCTCTGTTCCTGAAGCTCGAGCCTTCCATGACATGTCAGATTAATATTGCGGGATTGCTCTCTTTATCAGCCGTATCTCATCCCAGTTGGGCCAGAAGACCTAAAAGCCCACCATATATTTATTTTCTTCTATAAAAGAAGGCGTAAGCCTTGATAGAAGAGGTCCAAAATTTCAATCTCTTTTGACGGTGTTACTCAGAAGGCTGAAGGTGTGGTGGCTTTTAGGGTTCCTACAACCTAAGAAGTGAAGATCCTGAGAAAAGAAGTGTCATCCGTGACAATGTAGATGAACTCAACACAGATGATATCTAGCCTCGTCATAAGTAGCTAATTTCTCTCTCAAGGCACTGATGTAACCCAACCTAATATTATGGTTTGATTGTTTTAACTTTGGGTTTATTTTAATGTATGATTATTTTTCTTGATTATATGACTATGAGCATTTGAGACAACTCAAGTGGTTTTCACGCTTTAATAGATTATAAACTGTTATTCCATTGTCTTAGATGTAATAGTTTATTCTCTATTCTCAACCAATCTTGTTGTGCGGTATCTGGCAGAGTCCTACCGGACACAAGAATAGATGTCATATAATTGTACTTTCATATTTTTTATAAAAGAATGTTTTAATAATCTATGCTTAGGAAAGGTAGTTCATTCACAAAGTAGTTAAAGTAGGTAAAATAGGTAGGTTGATAGTTCACGCTAACCGCAGATAGGTTATAGTTAGCTAATCTTGTAAAACATCTCTCTTTAAAACCCAAATTAAACGAATGTTATTGAGTTTAATTCTTTTAAAAAATATCATTATTAAATTCCCAAAGTTAGTATAATTAATCATACTATGATGGTTGTAGTGAAGTCAAAACCCTAATACTCTCTCTCTTTGATTATTTAAATTAATTTAATTCGCTCTAGTTAAATATTTTGTTATAATTTTAGTTTGTTCAATCGTGATAATCAACAAATTTTCCAACTAAGTTACCTGTAAACCATAAAACGAAATTAAAGACTAATGCAAATCTCATCTCCTTGTGGGTTCGACATCCTCTTTACATAGAGTTATCCTACACAATATCGTTCTATTGCAAGTGGGTATTTTATTATTGCGAGATACACGAACAGTGTCTATTGGTGAACAGACACCATGTGAACCATTGCAACCAATCGGAGTGGATATGTTCAGTGTGAAGAGACACATATAAATGGTTGTGTCCAATGATGAAGAGACACATATAATTGTTTGTATCTAATGATGAGAAACACACCCAATCCAAAAAGGCACCTTACTTAAAAACTACTTTTAGTTTTTCTAAAGGTTGCACCAATTCGAAAAGGCACCTTATTTAAAAGCTACTTTTTAGTTTTTTCCAAAGGGTTACACCCACCCGAAAAGGTACCTTGTTGTCTATAAATACCCCCCTTTGGATCATTTGCAAATCGTTCATTTTTTTATTTTCTTCTATCTCACTCTCTAGACTTGAACCTAACCCAAGTAGGTTCAAACCATAGGTTAAGTGGTCCGAACCACTTGGACTCTAATCCAATTTCATCGAACCATATTAAGATATATTGGTCCGAACCATTTGGTTCGGATTGCACCCAATTCA